GTTCAGAACTGTGACCCTGGTTCAGAACTGTGGCTCTGGTTCAGAACTGTGACTCTGGTTCAAAACTGTTCAGAACTGTACTACGGAAACTTTTCTCCAGTTTTATCCAATAATTTCCAAAGAAACCTCACATGTTTTACCTTTTCACGAAGTTTTTTCGATTCGCCTTATTTTTCTATTTTTCCTCTTTACAAGATTTTTTCAACTTTTCAAGTAAAATTTTTCCGGAAACTCTTAAAACGGTTCCCAGTTTTTGTGGAGGTAAATCTTCTAAAATCTTCTCAAATTTTGACACGCACTTCTCAATAATTCATCAATTTACATAGACGTAGATGCGATTGAAACCTAAGTACAGCTTTGAGGGAAAAGGATGACTTTTTCAGATCTGATTTCGTTAACGAGTATTCGATGATGAATATTTATGAGCTTTTTCTTTCAAAAGACGTAAGAATGAACATCATTTGTGATAGTTTAATCAATTGTGATGGTTTAATGAGTTGTAATGGTTGTGATGGTTTAATGAGTTGAGCGGACGATGAGGAACTTAAGATTTATAGGAGTAATGATGATCGAAATGAAGTGAAAAGTTTGATAAACTGAAATATCTTCTTATCTGGATTTAAAGGGTTAAAAAGGGGAAATGTAAAAGTAAAGGGATGTAGAGGGTTAAAAAGGGAAATGTTGGTACAAGAAGATTTGTTTTTTATTTCGATGACAAGAGGAAAAGTCTCTAGAGTCAAGTGCAGTGCTGTCAACGACAACACCTTGCGTCCATTTGTTTCCGATTATGAAGGCCCCCCTTGTACCCCTTCCTTTGTAGAGTGTAGTAGTGAAGTGGTTCTTAAACTTATCTAATAAATTCAAACCAAAGCTAGGACTTGTTCTGAAACTGAAAAAAAGTGAATCTTTCTGAATGAATTACAGGGTGGCCTCGAAGTTTTGTTACTTTTAAAAGAAGTTTCTTAAAATTCGATTGACAAAAGATTCACCGGAGAGATGTCGACTAGCGCTCATTCAAGCACTTGTTAAATGAGTTGTTTAAGTCGAATCGGGAAGTTTTTGATAGATAAATGTAGCCAAGACTAAGGACTTCAAATCTCTAAATAACACTTGACACTTTTGTAATACAGGATGCCCGGAAAGTTTTGTTACTTTTAAAAGAAGTTCCTTATTCGATTGACAAAAGATGAAAAGTAATGAACTTAATTTTTAGAAAAGTTAACTATTTTTATTATAGGAAATCAAGTTTTACGTAAATTTCGACTCTCATCGATTTCAATAAAGGATTCAAGATTCACAAGCTTGCAAATCTAATTTCAAAATTTCTTAATTTTGAAAATCGCTGTAGATTTTTGTATTTCTAGCTCAATTTCGTTGTAGAGAGGCTAGTTTTAAAGAAAAATATCTCCTCTTCTTAAACATAAAACTGGATAAGCTTTATTTGTGTTTCAGCTTTTTTAATCACTGGATTTGTCAGCCGGATCAGACCAGATCAGACTAGATCAGCCTGGAGAGCGGAGAGTTTTGCTTGAAATGACAATAAAAGCTATCTTTTTGATGGATCTTTATGATAAACGCTTATTTTTAATAAGAAATGTTCAAATATTGATTTTACTGTTGTTTTCACTTCTCCTTTGTTTTTCCTGAACCTAAATTTAGCGGCACCGCTTTCAAAAGTAACAGAACTTTCCGGTCACCTTGTGAAATACAGGGTGACCGGAATGTTTTCTAACATACCTGATTGAAATAATCAGGTATGTTAGAAATGCTGGCTAGAACAAGATTTTTGCCTTGTTCCCGATGAGAATCATTTTTATCCGACGAAGACTGTCCTAGCTATGTTAGTGACCCAGAAGTCAGAAGACAAGCCAGAGCCAGAGCCAGAAGGATCTGACTCTGGCTTGTTCGGAAATTTCGCATTTTGAAACACTCCTGTTCCCGATTCCAAACACAAATCAGTACCAACTTGTGTAACTTGACGTCAATTTGTCCCGCATTGAATCCTGAAAGTTTTCCGATTCCTTGATTTATTTTATTCACTCATTGTTGCAAAGAATCTCTGTTTGAAGCACTTTTGTCGACCTTTCTCCAAAGGGATTCTTCTTTCAATAATATTTGGGTGATCTTTGGTCTTTGAGTCGGCTGGGATTGGCTGGGCTCTCACGATCGGCTTTCTAAATGTATTGATGATTTTTCCAAATAAATTTGTGTTTAATTCTTTCTCAATTGTGCTTTTGAGTGATTCGAATCTGGCTTGTCCGGACATTTTTGCATTTTGAAACACTCCTGCTTCGGATTCCAAACACAAATCAGTACCAACTTGGGTAAGTTTGAAAAAAAGCTCTGTTAAAGCTAAGTTAAGCTAAGCTAAGCTCTGTTAAAGCTAAGCTAAGTTAAGTTAAGCTAAGTTAAGCTATGCTAAGTTAAGCTAAGCCAAGCTAAGCTCTGTTAAAGCTAAGCTAAGCCAAGCTAAGCCAAGCTAATCTAAGCTAATCTAAGCTAAGCTAATCTAAGCTCTGTTAAGGCCTCGTAAAAGTGTTTCACTTTGCAAGCAAAGCAAACTTTCAGCTTCATTTCAAAACTGAAATCCATCTATTCTTTGACTCCATCTAACGAGAGCCAAATTTCCGGGTTCTTTGTTGCTTAGGGAGATCCGATTCCAAGAATTCGAAGAATATTTCAAGAATTTTAGACTTGTTCACGTGTTTTCACTTGTTCAACCACACTTTACTAGATAAAAAATGTTATTATTTCATAGGCATCGACCCTTTCATCACATAATTCTGACTCTTTTCTACTCTGTGGCGGCTGTTTTCAAAATGCATGAGTCGTTCTCTTTTTCTACCGAGAAAAGTTCAAGTTTGCATCGAAAACAAATGTATTTCTCTTTTTGATGGAAAATTTTTACAAGAACTTTTATAAATGTGCCTTGTAATTAGATTGTTTTTGCTTCTAGCCTTTTAAAAGCTATGAAAAGCTATGAATTAACTAAACACTGAAGTATTATATTGTTAGTAGTTGATCAGGTGCAAAACACGGTCAAATGAACATAAAATTCTATGGGGATTGTTTAGGAAACAAATTCTCATGATTATACTAAGTTATTAGGTTGAGTCTTTCACCCAAATTAATTTTCGCATTGACTAAGTCTCAAGCTATCGAATGAAATACGGTTTTTTCATTAGATAGCCTAATCATTTCTCTTGCAAACGGCTTTTGAAAGCTCTGAAAACTCTGAAAAGCTTTGTTTTGAAGGTTTTTCATTAGCAAGAAGTCGAGTATTCAAAAGCGACACGAATCAGTATCAACTTGAGTAACTTGACGTCAATTTGTCCCGCATTGAATCCTGAAAGTTTTCCGAAAACTCCAATGATGCAATTTGAACCGTTTCTTCCAATGAAACCTATTTTGATGTCAAAAGAGAAAAGATAGCGCACAAAAAGTTACGTCTAAAACCAAAATTTCAGAATAATCCGTTTAGCGGTTTTCTTTATGTGTTCATTTTTCTATTTCAATTTTCTATTTTTAAAAATTCCACTTTTCCTTCTCGTAGATTATTCTAAAATACTAAAAATTGTTTTTAAAATGACAGAAAGTAAACGATAAACATTTATAATGAAAGGAATTGTTTGGTATTTGATAGTTTGAGACTCGTTCATTTAGATAATGAAATGAAAGGTGCAAGACTTAGTGCTCAACCTCATAGAATAAACTAAGCCAAGCTAAGCTCAGTCCTAAGCCAAGCTAACCTCAGTCCTAAGCCAAGCCAAGCTCAGTCCTAAGCCAAGCCAAGCTCATTCCTAAGCCAAGCTAAGCTCAGTCCTAAGCCAAGCCAACCTCAGTCCTAAGCCAAGCCAAGCTCAGTCCTAAGCCAAGCCAAGCTCATTCCTAAGCCAAGCTAAGCTCAGTCCTAAGCCAAGCCAACCTCAGTCCTAAGCCAAGCCAAGCTCAGTCCTAAGCCAAGCCAAGCTCATTCCTAAGCCAAGCTAAGCTCAGTCCTAAGCCAAGTTAAGCTAAATCCCAAAAATGCGATTGTACTCTAGTCATTACACTTCTTCTAATAACAAAAACACTACACAATAAAGAACATTAGCACTTCTTGAAAAAAGCAAAAGAGCAATTCAAAGTCGGGATCGAACTTGTGAGGTCTTCCTCTCGAAACGAGCGCTGTACCCCCACGGCTGCACCGAACTGGGTCCTCAAAGAGGCCGCTAAGTCCCATTTTCAGAGTCCAAACAAAACTTGAGACGCTTATAACTCTTACCGTTTAGCAAAAACGAAATATTTATTCGGAATCAGCATAAAATTCTGCGTCGAATGGTATAGGTTGCATAGCATTTGGCTCAGCCTGTTAACCTTCCCTTGTTAGTACTCAATCTTGTACTCAAACTAAAATGCTATGCGTAAGTACCAATACGAGAACTTGTGATCAAAAACAAGCTTAACCTTTTGTTTGGTTTGGTTTGGTTTTAACAGCTTAACAAGCTTAGCAAACAAGGACTTTTTTTCGGCAATTATTAACAGCAACTTTATTAGCAACTTTAACATTACTGTTGAAGAAAAACTACTCTATCAATGCTTTAATATTTTAAAAATTAACAGCTAGGATGTCTATCTTTCAATTTTTCAACCTTAAAAGTTTTCTAGCCCAACTGGAGCACATGTACTTCAAGTGTTCAAAAATGTTTTCAAAATTCATTCTAGCAAGTGCTTCCTCTTGCCTCGTCACATTGTTTACTCAAATCCCTCTGATTAAGCGAAAGGGAAAATCTAAAAAAATGGGATAATCACTTTCTTTTCTCGTTTCCCAGAAAAGCGACCTGCTCAAAATTCATAGATCCCTTCGAATCTCTCTGTCTCTCACTTTCTCATACATCTATATTCTTCTCAAAATCCAGAGTCCAACCCCCTGGACTCCTTAGCTACCCGAAGAAATTCATTAAACTGACTCTATTCCGTCTGTAGTCTGAATATCACTTCTACCGTATTCATTGAAAGTCATGAATATCGTGCGTGCCCGTCCGATTCGACCCCGACTCGACCTTTCCCCGAAAGCGCAAAAGGGGAGAAGTGCCTCGGAAAGAAGGCATTCCCCTCAACCTGGCACTCCATTCTCTCCAACTCCGCCACAACGCTTCTCACCGCACAATTTGACCCCGGAGCCGATTCGCAGGGTTTGTTAAAGGTTTTGTGAACGAAACAATAAGATTCTTTTTGTTGTTTCTGAACGCATAAGCTTTTTCGTTCAGTTTTTCATTTCTTGACCACTTCTCGTTCGCTTGTCAGGCTTCTTGTTTGGTTGCTTCTAAGAAAGCCACGATTATTCTAGGGAAAATCTAAACGCCAGAAAGTAGGGCTTAGTGCTTCTTTTTTGTTCTAATACGGTTCCAATACGGTTCCAAAACGGTTCCAACACGGTTCCAATACGGTTCCTTTTTTGATCTAATACGGTTCCAATACGGTTCCAAAACGGTTCCAACACGGTTCCAATACGGTTCCTTTTTTGATCTAATACGGTTCCAATACGGTTCCAAAACGGTTCCAATACGCTTCCAAAACGGTTCCAAAACGGTTCCCAAACGGTTCCAAAACGGTTCCTTTTTTGATCTAATACGGTTCCAAAACGGTTCCAATACGGTTCCAATACGGTTCCTTTTTTGATCTAATACGGTTCCAATACGGTTCTAAGCACAAAGTACTGACAATAAATTGCCATGTTTGGGTTGTTTATTGTTCAAATTTGTTGAAAACTTGTACCTAAAATCATTGTAAACATTGTTACCCATATCTATTTCTGTAAAACTTCAAAAGAAACGGATTAGAGGAATTTTTTGAGTTTTCGGATTTTCAGGATCAACAACCACAAGAATATTTGAAAAATCTTTAAAAAAAAAGACAGTTTTGACCCTTTGCACTCATTAAGTTTCACAGGTAGATAGATCATTTTTTGATGGATCACCAAAGTTCTCATTTTTTTACAGAGCTATGCGGAACCTCACAAATATCACTAACTAACTGACTCACTAACTAACTCACTAACTAATTAACTAACTAACTAACTAACTAACTAACTAACTAACTAACTAACTAACTAAAACTAACTAACGGAACGGAAATATCAATCACTATTTTAAAATCAATCCAGCCTACTTTTCTTTGAGCTATAATACTTTCGTTTATTTTGAATTTCCACCAAATTCTCAGTCAAACAGTCATCGACTACGAAACTGTACTTCCCAAATACTGCGAATGAGAAAATAGAGTTAATTCTAAAATGTTTGTTTTATCTAGACCCGTACCAGCCTTTATTCTAGGAAAAGCCTCAAATCCTCGTCTCTACCTTGTCACTCATCCTTTTCTCTCCAGCTTCTCGGTGATCTTTTCATGTGGAAACTAATCAGGGATCACACGGGGCAAAGCCTCTATAAGCTTTGTAAAGAGCTCTTCCTTTCTAGTAATCCGGTCCCCGATTATCTTCTCGATATTGTATAATCTCCGCTCATCACACCACTCACTTGAAAATACTTTTCATCAACACCTAATGGGCACTTCCTGTTTCTTAAACATTCATCTACATAATTGGTGACTAATGTCTGAATCAAAATGTTTTGTTATGTTTTGTTATGATTTATTAATCCGATTATAGTTATACGCATGATCAGGCGGAAAAATTTAGCTTGGCACGTAGGATTTCCTATTTTTTTAAATGATTCAGTCATCGAAAGTAGTTTTGCTCAAAAAGTCAGCTATTTCTGTACTTGAATTGATTGTTTTTCTAATAATTGAAGTGTAATTGTATCTTGACTCCAACTTTCTATGATGTATTCGTTCATTAAGTGTCAATGTTCTAATAAGTGTCATCAAGGAATTTCATAGCTTTCATTTCAAACCAAACTTCAAACTTTTCCTTTTAGACTATCGACTAGACTATTTTAGACTATTCTGCTGTTAAATTTATTATTTATGTGATATTTTTATGTTTTTTTTGCCTTCAAATTGAATCTCTATGGAAATTCGCGCTTTTTAGTCTGCTGATTTTGAGAGGCTTCAAAAAACAATACGTCTTGGCATAAAATTTGGCAAAGAAAGCGCAATTGAACGAAATAGATAATGAGAAGTTTATCAAAAGAAAGAAAATCTATAGTCAGAGCAATCAGTTGATTTCTAGAGTTGATCTAGAATCTACTAGAGTCTACTAGAGTCTACTAGAATTGATTTGCATACTTTAAAGTGAACTGCAGAAAAGCTGCCCCAAGAAACCCATAAAGCACATACCAGAAACCCATAAAGCACTTACCATAAGCACTTACCATAAGCACTTACCATTAAGCTTGTCGATATCTTGACTCCAACTTTCTATGATGTATTCGTTCATTCTAGTCTAGCAATAATCACCGAGCAAAGAACAGGCTTGCTATTCATTCGTTTTTCTCTTCCTTTCCCCGCGAAAATCTTTTTTGTTAGAGTAAACGTCTTCTCATGGATCATTGTCACTCAAATGTCTGCTTATTTTTCCTCTAATCTTCGATTCCCTTCCAGCGTTCAATTCAAAAGGTTATTATCTTACCCATTTGAGTTACAAAGTTTGCTTTTGCTTTTGCTAGATCTTTTGCTAGATTAAGTCGAAATAAGCTTGATAAAATTCTTAGTATTTTAGTTTTATTATGTTGGAAAGAAAGTTCTGGATGACCGGAGCTCTATGGAGTTCAAGAAACCATGAAGATTAGATTTTTTATGTTAAAATCAGATTTGTAAATGTTTTAGTATTAATAAATTTAAAAAAGTTGTTCTTAGCACTGAAGTTGATCATGTTTTCCCCATAAAACATCTGATTTTCTTAATTTTATTTTGTCATCTTCAAACTGAGCAGTTTTACAATTTTCTGCCAACTGCTGTGATTAGGTTGGAAAGAAAGTTCTCGGAAAAAGTTTGACTGGAATTTCTTAAAAACGAATCCACTAATTCGAGAACATTTTGTTCTATTATTTACAAGTCTATTACAGTTCTATTACAAGTGGACTCCAAGAAATTACTCGTAAAAAAATGAGTGCAGCTTTCCCTTAAAATTTTTGAGATTTTTGAAGAAAATTATTATTTTCCAGCTTAAATTCAGCTCACTTTTTGCACTAGAAAAACGATTCCTTATGAGGAAAAGCTAGCATAAATGAGCTAAACTTTAACTACTACTTTAAATGAGCTAAACATATCTAAACTTTAACTCAATGTTGTGATGCAGCTTCTTTAGCCCGTGCCTTACAAATGAGCCACCTCATAGCTACAGGCCACCTTTTTGCACCAGAAAAACGATTCTTGATGAGGAAAAGCTAGCATAAATCAGCAATACGCTCTATAATCTCTATTTTTGGCCAAATAATTTTTTACAGAGAAGCTGCATTTCAAAAAATAATTTTTTCGTGTCATCTTCTAGGCACTGAGTGTTTGCTAAAATCGGTGATTCTGAAAAGTTAAAGCATTAGATAAAATTTGCCTTTATCACAAACTTTCCCTATTTTAAGTACTTCATTTTAGGTTTTAAATGGGACCCATTGTCTATCCATTAACCCATTAAAAACTTGTCTAAAGGCTGATGACTCAAAAAGTGACCAAGTCACTTCAGCTGAAGAAATCTCTTCTTTTTACCTGACGTCCACTCTGATTTTTTTTGTCAAAAACTTTTTGAAATATAGTCAAATTTATCAAAAAATCTGGGAAGAATTCATGGCTTGGTTTTTGAGGAATCACCGCGCAAACTTTTTTCCGAGAACTTTCTTTCCAACCTAATACGTCCAAAGGGGGTGACTGCGGAAAAGCGTTAAGTTGCGTCGTTTTTGCCTTTTAGCCCAAATTTGACGTGTCAGCGAGGTCTGATTTGTCGAAATTCGGAATCTACGCATACGATTCCCTTCTTTGAAAACATTTTTGAAGCTCTACGGCCTTGCCTAAGGCCTTTTCTAGCAAAAAAAAAGGTGCGCAAATGTCCAGGTGCGCAAAAAAAGGTCGCATTTGTCCCACCCCCGTCCAAATTTAGTCTTTTAGTCCAAATCTTTTAATCCAAATCTTTTAGTTCAAATTTTTCCAAGTCATTTTATGTTTTCAATTTTTCCTTCTAAAACCTTTATCCTATTTTTCTTGTCGATTAAAATTACTAGATTCAATTTTTGTTTTCAAAGCCATTATCCTATTTTTCTTCTTCGATTGAAATTACTAAATTACTAGATTGAAATTACTAGCTTCAATTTTTCTTTCCAAAACCATTATCCAATTTTTCTTATCGATTGAAATTACTAGATAGTAGTAGTCCAGATCCAAGATCCAAGCTCTATTTATTGTTCGTAACTTCCTATTAGTTTTTTTTGATGGAATTCAAATTATTATGTTTATCATTCAATTTTTAGTGCCGATCCCCATCGCCAATTGCAAAAAGTCCGGGTTTCATGGACCAATTGACCGTTAAACCGTTGAGAAGAACTAGGTTTGCTTTTTAATATAAGAAATTTTAGAGAAAATTGATTGACAAGCCAATCAATAGATTTTTGTTAGCTGAATATACTGTTTTACCTTTAGATCGGCTCGTTCCGCATCTCCGGCCGTGCATCGATCCATCAACCTCACGCCAGATCACGAAACTTTGATCAGGTTAGTGTTATTACTGATAAAGTTGGTAAAGTTACTTTGTTTTTGAAACGTTGTAAGGGTTGATCTGTTTTAAATAACACCATTTGTTCAGGCGCTCATGGCAACGCATTCCAAAGGACAAATTTGGCGAGATACTCATTCGAGATTTGGTGAATCGAATCGGAAGGGAATCTTTTGGAGCTGATGCGACTGTGAGTTTTGAAATGAGCTGAGCGGCAGGCAACCAAAAATTTTAGGCTTTTGAACGACACGCTCGTCATTTCGTGGACTTGATCCAATCGGCTGTCGACAATCTCTCGGATGTCGAAGAGGCGCTGCGACCATGGCTGAACATTTTGGGTCGAGGGCATGTTGGATTCAGGATAAAGTGAGGCTAAATTCTAGAATCTAAAAATCAATAAAGGTAGTGTGTGTTATGTAATAATAATACCATAATATGTGTTACGCCTTATATGAAGGCAGAGTAAGTCGAAAATGTGCCAGATTATTTAAAGTTTGTTATATTGCATGTTATGTGTTACATATCATTTCATCTTTATAACATTTTTACACTTATATTTAAATTTTTAGCCCGATCGGTCGGCTATAAGGAAAATTAGGGCCATTAGAAGCTCTGGCCATTGGCCATTAGCTCTAGAATAAAAGCGTCTGGCACGATGTAGATTGTCTTATGAAATCGTGCTTAAAATTCTTCAAATCTCAAAACTCTTCCTCAAATAATGTTTTTTGCTTTTTCTATGTTGAGAACATAAACAAATTTTTGCTTAAACTTTCATAGGATCTAGATTTTAATTGCTTTAATTGTCACAATGTTGAAAACGAGATGAAATAAGCTTATTTTGGGTGTTTTAAAGGATTTCAAAACTAACATCAAGCTACAAGTCTAAAGCAAAAAGTAAGAATTTTAATTTTATTAACCTTTTTTGAAGCACAATCACGGAAAATTGTCTACATTTTAAGTGTCTACATTTTAATCACCAGTCTTTATGAAAAAAAGCATCTCCGGGCCAGACGCTTTTATTTACGAAGCTTCTAATGGCCCTAATATTTCTTATAGTCGGACCGATCGGGCTAGAAATTGGAATATAAGTGTAAAAGATGTTATAAAAATGAAATTATAGGAGAATTGAAGTAATCTGCCACATTTTCGACGTAATCTACCTTATAAAAGGCGTAACACATGGTGGTGGCTCATATGGTGGCTCATATTATGAGCCACCTTGTAAATTAGGCATTAAGATTGATTTGGGACTTAGTTTACTGAACATTACAGAGATGTTTTAGGTCAAAGCATTGGGATTCATTTGGTGAATCGTTGATGGCCACAGTTTCTGTGTACATTGGACCTGGCAGAGGACACAAAGAGACGATTAAGGTATGTAAAAGTGCTTTGAAGGAAAAGTTTCGAAAATTTGACGAATAGCAACAATCAACAAATCTGAAACCGCTACATTTCTAGTCTTTGCTGCGTTTGTTGTCGTTATTTCAGTCGTTTCTTGTCTAGCAACTTTGAGAATTATCTTCTCAAAGAAGCTTGAAGATTTCTAACTATTAGGTTGATGCATAAGTCTTTTTGTTCCTTTTCGTCTGCCGTTTCAAGCCAACAAATGCACCAATTAAACTACGGTTGATTTCATTAGAAAAACCAATTATTTTTCTACAAAATAACATTAAAACGGGTTTAAAAATATTTAATGCCTGGATTTTCTTGAGAGTATGAAGTCGGGTAGTCAAAAAGGGCTAACTCGATGATGCGGTTTAGACACCTTAGCTAAAGAAAACCTATCTTCGTGTCAATAGATAAAAGATAGAGAAAAAAAAAGTTTGATATTTCGCCAAAATTTCAGAGAAATTCATTCAGCCAATTTTTCCGTAGAGTTTTTTATAGATTTTTACGAAAAAGGCGTTTTTCACTCTCGAATTTGCTTGAAAGTGAACCGAAATTCATTTAAAAAGATGCAAATTGAACAAAAAAACACTTTTTTTATAGAGCAAACTATAGATTAATTGGTGAATTTGTTACTTTTTAACAGAAGTACGAAAAAAACGAAAAGACTTATGCATCAACCTAATAGAATAACTGACTAGAAGGCCAGTAAAGTTAAACCGATAAAACAGGATATACTGACTTCATAGAGTATCAGATGAGTGCTGGATTACTAAAGAAATCTCAAAATATCATAACAAGATATAGAAAGAAAAAAATTCTTTTTAGTCCTGGATGATCCTGTCGACTTTCCTGGCCGATCGTCTCAGCGCAGCTTCTCGATCAACAGCTCATTCTCCAATGGTCACACCTCGATTACAATTGATGACTTTCGTTCAACCATAATTTATCCGATTTATCATTTTGATACCTCTGAAATTTTGAGAATGTATATACTCTTTTATTTTTTAACTTTTTAACTAACTAACTAACTCTAGCTCTAACTCTAAACAAACTGACAAGTTAACTAGTCTCAAACTTTTCCCGATCCGATTGACTTCACCTGTATCTCACTGATCGCACTGATCTCATTTCTCAATTCTAAATCATCTTTTTTTGTGTCGAATAAACCCCTTTGAAGCTAAATGATTGATAAAATACGCTCGAATGACTCATAAAATACACGTATTATTCAAGAAAAATTCTGTCATTGTTGTCATAGTTGTGCATTTTTCAAAAACAGTGTCATTCTCTTCACTGACTCCTGTTTTTCTCTCTTCTTTGTTTACTCACGAAAGTGTTCGTCTTGCTTTTTATTTCTTTCATCCTAGCTTATTTTTTTATTTCTTTCATCCTAGACCATATAGTTTTTCTGTGACACTTTTTAAAAAGCTAACCTTTTTGAAAAATCCAGTTTTTTGTTAAGAACCAATTGCAACTACAAAGCTGAAATCGCTACATTTCTAGTCTTTATTGCGTTTGTTGTCCTTTGTTTCGGTTCGTTTCTTGTCTAGCAACTGAGAATTAACTTGAGAATTATCTTCTCAAAGGAGCTTGAAGATTTCTAACTAGAATTTTCCAGTAAAGTCAAACCGATTTTCCATAAACGGTCAGCTATCATCAGCTGAAAATATGTAGATAGTTTTATCTGAACTCAAGCTTTCGTAAACAAAGTTTATGAAGTTCAATGCTTGAGTACAAATTTAGACAAGGCAGAAACAAACTGTGACAACTTTGTCACCAAAGCTTGAGCTATTTTATTTTACGAAGCTTTATGCAAATGGCTGAATTGGGAAAAAGCTACCGTATAGCAAAATTGTGTCGTTTTTATTGGTGGCAAAATTGTGACTACAAAATTGTTTTTTATTGGCAAAATTGTGGCTATAAAACCCGACGTTTTCCGTAATTTCTCTCTTCTTTTTCAGTATTGATTTTGTGTTTCTCTGGTGTTTTCTTTGTGTTTCGATTAGGTTCTCATTTGGTTTCGATTAGGTTTTGTTGATCCCTTGTGAGATGAAGTTGTTTCTTCGAGGCTTGTTTCATTTGATACGCATCACAATATCTCAATTTGCGACACAAGCCCGCAATCAGTAACTCTGACGAGGGAATAAGATGAGTTTGGTTTCATTTCGAAAGGTCACAGTGATATTTTATCTTTTCCTAATGAGGTTTGATTGAGTAGAGCTGCTAGTTATGAGCTGTTATCATTTTTTAGACAGTTTTTTCTGGTTTTTCTCCGTTTTCCCGAACTTTTGGAATTTTCTCGAACTTCTGGGGAGTTTGACAACGTTTTTGATAACTAGAACTTTGTTTAGAGATAATATTATTGCTAACTTTTATCTAGTTCTATAGAAAACACTTTAGGCTTTCGAATAAGCTTGATTGGATTGGATAAAGCTGGATTGGATTGGACTATTCGCTTTGATGAAAATCACGAGACAAGGAGCCGATCTCTTTTGGGCAAGTTGACTTTGATTTCCTCAGGATTGGTTAATTCGATCAGCTTCTATTTTATAGCATTCAAAAGCTTGAAATGCGATCTTTAAAAGTATATAAAAGTTAGCAATAATAGAGAAAAATTTAAACGAAATCAATTCAATCAATCAATTCAATCAACGAAATCAATCAATTCAATCAACGAAATCAATCAATTTGCGAAATAAAAATCAATCAAAACACCCAAAAACGTCTTAAACTCTCAAAAGTCCTAGAAAAGACAGACAGAAAGGAGAAAGAGACGAACAGACAGAAAGGTCAAGACGGACAAGCTGTTTTTCTTATTGAAACTTGCAAGTGTTCAATTCTTTAGCCAAAATTCTTCTTTGATTCAATTCTTTGTTGATAAAGCTTCTTCAATCTTAAAATCTCGCGGATTGCCCTTAACCCAACTATTTGATCGTTTATCTGTGGCTAAACTCTGCATTCAAGCGCATTTCTCATTAGTTTAGCTGTGTATTCCCAGGCAGAGAAATTCAGTAATTACAAGTTGTTGGGGAAAAAGAGGGAAAGAAAGGGATGTCTCCCGTTGTGTGGATCTCCCCTTCACAACGAGAGAATGCTAATTTCCGTCTCCTCTCCATCTCTCCTCCTTCTATTGCCAGCTCTTCCGCACAACGAGAAAATCTATTCAAAATGAGGCCAATATTTAGCTCTAGCCTCAATATCCAGTGCATTTTTTTGAAGCTTTTCGCATGTAAATGAACACTTCTTAATTTTGGCAAGCTTTTAAGTAAAAGTAAGCTTTACCAGTTGCTTGCTTTGGTATTGCTTGCTTTGGTATTGCTTGCTTTGGTATTGCTTGCTTTGGTATTGCTTGCTTTACCAGTTGCTTGCTTCGCTAAAAAATTCTATACCACTTTTATAGCTTGAACAACAAAACGTTTAACTTTTATTATCTAAAACTGTAGAAAAAAGACTCTAAATAAAGCATGAATATCAATAAAAACAATCAGTTCTCCGTTGAGCAATTGTTGAGCAATCAGTTGAGTTTTTTTGAAATCACTTATGCCCGGGTTAGTTCTATTCTAAATCTAAAGTTAATGATTCATAATCTAAAGTTAATGATCTAAAACTTTTAAACTTTCCAGCTAACAAATAAGATTCTCAAGATTAGACTGTAAAAAACGCTTTTTTCAAGATTAAACCGTTCAAGATTAAACCGTTCAAGATTTTTGATCTGATAGATTCCTTGCTATTTTTTTTTAAAAATGATTGCACCCAAGCCAGTGCTTTAACAGTAAATCCAGCTGCATTTACTTTACACTTTTCGTATTTTGAATAGAGTTTAATTAGGTTTTATTTAGATTCAGGTTTTATTTAAATCTTCACACCTATTCACAATAAAAGGTTTTCCAAATAGCACCATGATTGCCTTTTAACACATTCGCGACGAGGCCGTTTTTAGATGATCTGATTCCTTTCTCGAAACTGATTAATACCTTGCAAAAAGCTACTTTTTTTGAAAAACTAAAACCACAATGCTCTTCAGTATCTCGCTAGCTATCGATTTCAATAAAGATCTCAAAAACGATCCACTGTAGCTCAAAATATGATTGGCCAAGCCTAAGCCTGAGCCTGAGCCTGAGCCTGAGCCTGAGCCTGAGCCTGAGCCTGAGCCTAGGCCTTAGCCTGAGCCTTTGCCAAGTTACCCCAGGTTAGCCACTGGTAGTCCGAGTCGTCGCGAATAGGTTAACCCTATAAATATTTGATGTAATATATCTTCCCTTTCCCGCAATCCATCCCCCATTCATCTATCGAGATTTCCAATTTAGGTGTGAGCACCGGAGCGTGTCAAAATCGACGGTTACGTGTGTGGCGAGAGGGGAGGGTGAATGATAGGGGGAAATGTCCTCAATATGAGACTCAAGGGGGTATGAGACGGGGGATTCCTCGATCATACCCTTTCACCGATATCCGTTTTGGTCATTTTAGAGTCCAGAGCTTTGAAGCTCATTCGTACCTAAAGTTTGACTTGTTAAATGTTTGCTATGGGAATAACTAACCAAATTAACAAGCTCTACTTTAACTTTGATTTATAAAACATCAGTTTACACTCGTTCAATTTGAATTCTTTAGCTATTTAGCTTTTTAGAATGCAAAGCCAAAGCCAGTACGTGTAAAAATCTCAACTCTCAACTCTTGTATCACTTTTTTTATTCAATCTAACTCATTGCCAGCTTTTTGATCGCTTGCTTTTGGCTCTAGAAGTTTAAAGTTTTCTTACTCTAACTCTAATATTTCCTAAATTTAAACTATATCCAGTGATTTGAAATGCAAATTTCATTTTCTAGATTGCTTTTTCTAGATTTAAACTGTATCCAAGTATTTTGAATGCAAATTTCAGCTTATTTCAGACTAATCAAGGTCAAATAGTGCTGAATTCAGGGTCATACTCTTTACAACTGATCCTAGTCATTAGATGTATAAATAGGGTTTTAAAAGAAGCTAATTTATCCTTGGTTTCTAGTAGTTTCTAGTAGTTTCTAGTAGTTTCTAGTAGTTTCTAGTAGTTTCTAGTAGTTTCTAGTAGTTTCTAGTAGTTTCTAGTAGTTTCTAGTAGTTTCTAGTAGTTTCTAGCAATTCCAAGTTTTTAATCGTTATGTCCTCAATATGAGACTCAAGGGGATCTGTGTTTCCACTCATCACAGCCTCACACCGATATTGGGATTTGTCCCCCCCCTTGTTCCCCCTTTCTCGCAGTTCATATAAGCATCTCCTCATGTCACTTTCCACTCTCCACTATCCATCCAATAATCGGCCAGCAACCCCATTTCACACCCCATTCACTCGTGTCTCATTCAGTCAAAGCATCCTTTCAGAAATGATCATTCTGTATTGGTTCTCAAGTTTAGACTTGGCTTTTCTCTAGCATTCTAGCATTTTTCTAGCTTTTTTTAATGTTTTGTGTGTTTCTAGTGGTTTAGATAATTTCATTTTTCCTCGAAAAAAGAAATTCTTCGTTCTTTTTCCTTTTGCTTCAGTTTCCCTCTTGAATTTTGAAATACCAATCAAAACACTCAAATTTGAACGTATTTTTTTGATCCTTTTGAGTTTATTTGAGCTAGACATCCGGGAGAACCTTACACCTTACATGAGCCGGGAGGACCTTATACCTTACATGAGCCGGGAGAACCTTATGCCTTACATGAGCCGGGAGAACCTTATGCCTTACATGAGCCGGGAGAACCTTACATGCTAGGCATGTAAGGCCAAAAATTGTAGGCCTAAAAATGATTTTCACATCAACCCAATCACTTTAAGCTGATTTAAACCTTTTAGTTAGACTTTTAGTTAGTTAGATTAGGTCGAGTCTTGCACCAAGGTTTTAAAACTTTCTTTTCTTGGCAAATAATTAACCGATCGAGTCACGGTTTCCTCAAATCACAAATCTTTGACTACTTTCA